TATTTAGGGGTTCTGTTATTGTGAATGGATGTACATATCTAAATAGTGTTAGCGTGTGCTGACATGGGGTTACACAGAGAGATATGCAGCACCCCGTAATTACTTAAGCCACTGCTGCGCTGCTGTATGAATTTCTTTCTCAGATGTGTTAACGTTACTCGCATTATAATCTCTGATCGTAACTGGCCTCTTTGTTAGGACAGGTGCGATATTGACACCTGACAGAGGCAGGTGATGCTTACATCTCTACGGAATGGCACGAGATAAGGCACATCTCGATTTTGTTTGTGTCTGATGCTCACTTACATTGTTGATTGGGGCTGTGTTATGGAGACCATGTTTCCTCTATCCCTGTCTTCATTCGTTCTACTAGGTACTGTCCGTATGCTTATTTGCATCGCTCGTGGGCTTATAGCATCACAGCTTTATCCTTATCTCATTGTATAAGCCCTTTGCCCATTTAGTAAATGAGGGTGTGGTTCTAATATTAAAGAAATAAATAAAATAAATAACAAAGATTTAATAACAAATTAAGAATTATTAAGAAAAAATGGTGTGGAAAAGTAATTGAAATTCAAATAATGATAAGTAATTAGATCAGGGGGGGGAAAGTGTTGATATTAAATGAGTATTTTAATGAGAATGAGAATAAAATTTCTACGTGTTTTTAAGGGTCAAACCCGCTGCTCCGGCCTGCCGCCGGCCCTTCCGCTGTCTCTGTCTGGCTTTGTGCCCTTCTCATCCTGGCCCCCTGCCTTCCGTTCCGCTGGGCTCCCGGCCTTGGCTCCTTGTTCCTGTTTTGGTGTCTCGCCGCTTTGCGCCTCTCCCTCCGGTTTCTCCCCCCGTCCCCTTTGGCTTTCTCTGTGTCCCCTGCGCCTCCTGGCCGTGTCGTCGGCTCTCCCCGGCCCCTCCCCCCCCACCCCCCCTCCCCCTGCCTCCCTCCCCTCCTCTGCCCTCTCCCTCCAACCCTTTTCCGCTCGCGGGCTGCCTGCCCTTCGCCCTTTGCCCCGGCGTGCCCGCGTCGTTTCTGCCGGGGCCCCTTCTGGCCTCTGCTCCTTGTGTTCTGCCGCGCGGCGCCCCTCCGGGGCCTCGCTCTTCACGCGCCCTCCCCCGCCCCCCCGCCTGCGGCTTTGTCCCGTCTGCTTTCACTTGTTTTTCTTTCGTTTTCGTTTGCGCTGTTTCTCCAAATCCGCTGGTCGCTGGCCCTCTTGCCGCCCCCTCTGCGCCGTGTCCTCCCCGGTCCCGCGCCCGCCTCCCGTGCCGCCTGCTCGCCCGCCGGGCTCGTGTGCTGGCTGGGTGGCTGTGTTTGCTTCCTCGTCCGCCCCCTCCGCTTTCCCTTTTCTGCTCCCTGCTCCGCTTCGCCCTTGTGTGTCTATTCGCCCTTGGCACCCTGCATTGTTGTGTTTTTCCTCTTCCGCCTGTCTTCCCCCGCGCCTCCTCGCTTGGGTCCTGTGGGCTCCCTTGCTTTCCCCTGTCCTCTCTCTCCCCCCCCCGGCGGGCGGCGGGACCCGCGCAGCGCTGCTCCTATTTCCGGCCTGGCGCCCCCTTCCCGCCTGGGGCTCTTCTATCTCCCGTGGGTGCGCCCGTCTTACGCTCCCCACCCCCCCCGGCCCTTTTGCCGGCCGGGCCGCTCCCCCCCGTCTCTCTTCGCCTGCGGCCGCCTGACACCCATGCTTGTTGGCCTCGCCGGCCCCTCCCGCATCCCTCCCCCTCTCCCTGTTTCTCTCTCGTCCCTTTTCTGTGTGCTTGCTCGGCCTTTTCTCCCCTGGCTCCTCTTGTTCTTCCCCCTTTTCCAGTCCCCGCTGGCTGGCGAAGCGACGCATCTCACACCCTCCCCCTCCCTCGACACCAGTTAAATCAGAACGACAAAGCTCATTTGCCTTTTGTTTGGTTTTGTTTAGTGTCGTCTTTAAGGAGCTCAGGCCCCCTGAGTGCGCCAGGTGGCCAAGAACAACAATGAGCAAGGAGGTCAATGTAATTTGCCATCCTGAGAAACCTACTCGGCAAGCTCTTGCAATGGCTGAATTTCAGTCAGCCCTTCCGAGTGAAAGTGGTAGTGGGAGGAGGGTGTGCTTGTTTGCTGAGAGGTATTGGTGATGGGAGGCAGTGGTGGGTGAGGGGGGTGAATTGTGCCGATTGTCCGGGTGGAGGAGCCTACTGACACGTCCATTATTCTCAGTGGACACATTAGAAAGCCAAAAGGGACTTGTTGAGAAACCTTTATTGATATTCTCAATCTTCTAGACACCAAAACAGGAACAAGGAGCAATGCTGTAGCAGCTGAACTTAATTCAGTTTGCAGTAGAGAAGGTGCACAAATCCATACAGAGACACTGAATTGGCGTCGTTCATGCCTTAGCAGCTTGCATTGCAGTACGATAAATGAAGGGTCATCAAGGTGATAAAGCACTGAGCCGGAAATGGGATTGTGTTGGCAGGCAGCACACATGTGAACTGATGTGTTAGTCCCTGAGCAGTGTGGATAAGAGAGATATGCAGCAGGGCATGTTTCTACCCGTGACAATGTAAATAGAGGCTATCCACTTACTGGGTGAATGCCGCTAACTCCGCTCAGCTGAACAGCTCCCGGGGCCGGTTGTATTTACAGAAAAAAAACACACCCACAAAGTGCTGACACAAGTGGATGGTTCTGAGTGGGGTAAGCTCTCTCTTTTCAATTACTGGTATATCTCTGCTTATTCCAGCGCCTGCATTTGTGTAAGTCTGACATCTACAGCATGAGGCATCCTTTTTGTCAGGTAAAATTCACTGGAGGGCTTTATGGACATTCATGCAATGTACCAGAATCTGTTCAGCTGGAGTGAGGATGAAAGGCATGCATGCCTTTGGAGACTTTTGAAGGCTTTTTGGAGGGTCACAGTGGCTATGATGAGATCTGAGGTGTGAAATATGAGCTGATGTTTAGTTGTTGAAGGCGCAATATGAATGTCTGTAGCGGTAGGCATTAGGAGTTAGAAAGAAAGAGTGGAGTTTGGACTTGAAAGACAGCAGTGGCTTCGCAGGTTTTTTGACTTCTTGTGAGGCTGTTTCATTGAAGGCTGAATAAAGGAGTCATTAATTATTAATTTGATTAAATTCTTAAGGCCACAGTATGCTGTCACAACCCAGTCTCACTGTAAGTCCCAATACTGCAGCTTATGGTAAGTGGCCCAACTGGACGCGGCTGCTGTTGAAGTCAGGTGATGTAGTTTAAAGAGCGAGTTATGGAGGGGGCTAAACAACACAGGACTTTAACCCAGGAGACTGCTGTCCTGTGTGAAACCAAAACTGCTAACTTTACCACAGAGCCCTGCACGTCCAGATATGACGCAAGAAGGGAACCCACAGCATCATATTTTGAAGCAGTGGGTCGCTGACCAAGCAGTAGTATTTGACAAGTTGGGAATGAGAACGTGTTTTCTGTCACATATTGTCAGACTATGTCTTTAAGTCTTCATACCTGTTCCAAATGGCCACACTGTACGGTGGGGTGAAAAACCTGCCATCAAATGTGGAGGTCCTCAAAAAGGATACAGATTAGAAGATCATAAACCCCAGTTTCACTCTGCATTACTTAGCATTCTACTTAGCTTCTTCGCAACATAAAATGAGGACTCTTCATTTTACGCTTTACCTTATGCAAACTATGTGCATTTGCATTTTGGTACCAAGACAGGTAAGGATTCTATTACTTTCAGGGGTTCTTAAACTTGGTCCTATCAAGGACCCCCACAATAGATGCAAATAAGGATTGGGGATAAAGTCTTCATAGTCAAACACTGATCAAATTGGGATCACT